GAGCAGCATCCTCCATACATTCATTCCCTCACTCGAGTATCAGGCATTATTTCAGAAATAAGAAAGCACATCTTTAGCATCATAAGCTTTTGAACAGTCAAAAAAGGTATAATGAGGTGGCAACACCTCTCACAGGCAATAACCCACTGAAATACTATAAGCTTTTGTAGTCAGTGGGCATTTTAAAGACTTTACTTGTAACCAACAGAATCTTGTTATTAAATGATTACTTTTATGTACACATTCGGAGGGGTCCATAATTTTCCAAAAGACGAGAAAGTGACATCTTTACCGTTTTAGATGCTGTAGAACTTCCTCCTTCTCTCTGTGTGTATGAACTGAATCCTAACTGATAAACAGTGTCAGTCTGAGGGTTGTTTTTTTCTTGAAAACTGCATGGTTTTTTTAACTTACAAGGCCCTTAAAATTATTTTCTGTAATGTATCCAGTAGCTCCTTTCCATCTTGTTGGCTGAGATTCTCAAAGAGAAATACACACAAGGCTGCAAAGTTTTCAAGTCCACTGCATACTTATAATCTGCCAATTCCCCTTCCAGGTTTATTATTAAAAATATAAGTGAAATATAATGCCTCAGTGAGGTGCAAAAGTTGGCTTCTTCCGGTAATTTAACATCATTTTTTTTGTGAAGAAATGAAGCAACAGCACAGGTGAAAAGTCCCTAGAAAAAATGGCTGACTCAGCCTGTCTCCCTGAAATCACAGCACATTTGGCCATCCTAAGAATTAATTCAATGTTACTGGAATTTTGGCTTTAATTTCTCATTATAAGTTTTTTAAATGATGAGGTTTAACAGCATTTGAGGGGCAGATCCAAAGCATGTTAAAGCCAGTGGAAAGTCTGTCTGACTGCCATGCGTTTTGGAGGGGGCCCTAAGTACTCTTAAAGCTAATGATACAAGATCCCACCTCTGCAGCTTGATCCCTAGAAACGGAATCGACCTTTTCACAGCCTAAGTAGGGATAAGTTCATATAAATATATATTAACGTTCAACCCCAAACTCCTCTGCATGCCCTGGTTCAGTCCACTCTGTGGATAAGATGGCCTCCTGTCAGCAGAGGAAGACAAGATACTTGTTCAAGTGCTCATAATCAACCCAACGGAGATGATGCCAGCTGCAGCCTCTGACTGGAGCAGACTGGAAAAGAGTGGCTGAGCAAAGCTTTCTACTTTTCAGCTTTGGTATTCAGTTGCTATTATTTCAACTTTTATATTTAGCAGTACTGTAATAGCTCTATGTGTTTTAAAGGTGGCATTTCTCTTCCAGCTACCGTTCTTTCATCAAGGTAAGCCGACTGTCTTGCGCCCAACAAAATGCAATCGTCGCTCTTACTGGTGAAAGAGCTCCAGAGCAGGGTTCGAACTGAAGCATTTTTGGTGCCTGGGGTGATACGAGCTCTCTTGGGCATCAACCAAGCCAACGTTCCTGGTCCTCAAAGGCTTTTACAAGCCTGGAGAGTGAAGCCCAGCTGAGCACGTCCAAGCCTCCATGAGTCCCCTTTCAAAAAAAGCATTTATTAATCTTTTAGGATGTGCTTTCACCCTTTGTTTTGTGCCAGCTCCAGAGCTGGTCTCACACCCACTGTGAGCGGAAAACTAAGGCAGCTAAAAAAGTGGATAACACATTTGCACTCTCACATTTTGTCATGTGTGCTCCTGAAAACAAGAGAGTCTGATGAGCACTGGGGCTGACTGAAAAAGGAGAGGGTAAGATCTGTCTCTGAGGACGGGAGCACGGCAGTGGTCAGGAGAAGAGGAGAGGGGGAATGGGAAGGAGTACCCATTGGTGGCCACAAGCCATTAGATCAGACCAGCTGCCCCCAAAATTGCAATGTAAATATATGTAGCCACTACTATTTCCTCATAGACAGATGTTCCTCACAGTTGGCTAGTGCCTCATCTTGTATGCTTTTAGCCAGTGTCACTAGATGAAAATGCCATTTTGGAAAAACTATTTAAAATTAATTATCCCCTTAGTCTTGTAAAGGAGACACTCTCTAGTCAAGGAGTTGTGGGGAAGCTTATGCTGTAGGAAACACAGTTATACTTATGACACTGCTAACACAGTGAACACCAGCTATATTAAAACTATCATTCCAGAGCTTTGAATCCATTGGAAATATATATATGTATTTTAAATCATGCTACAACCTTTCAGTGAACAGAGAATAGAAGAGATACTATTCTGAGGAAAGCCAGCCACCATATGAAGCGTTCTCTTGATTTATAGCTGCAGCAGCATGAATTTCATATAACATGATAGCATCCTGTAAGTCTCAGAGCTCTACACCGAGTCCTGCACAGATAACTGGTTGTGCAACGCACAAAGCCCAGATGGGGTAATAATGTCTTTCCTTCAGCACAAAATGATGCTATTTAGAAAGCAGTGCTTTTGGATGTAGGAGCAGTAATCCCATTATCAGCCATCAACAACAAACGACACCACTGTAGGTATCCATTTGCCAGGAGTGATACACAGAAGCTATTAGAAAGCAGCCTAGATGGCATGCTGAGCTTTCACCTGCATTTTTCTCTGAGTTGCCCGTCTGCAGGTTTTTTTTTTTAATCACTATAAATAAGAGGACATTTATTTTACAGTGGCTTTGTTGTTATTTCAAGCCACCAGTTGTACTTGGGCATTGATCTGGGTGATTCGCCTTTCTCAGGGATGTGTATGGAGCCATGGCGCTCTGCTTTGAGATCTTCCAGAGAGAGCAGAGCAGTGCTGTTTCATACATACGTGAATGACTCTACCCGTGGGGGTGGGTGGCAAAGAGTAGCAGTGAAACTTGTCGTGAATTACCTGCTAGATCTCAAGAAAGACGGACAAGTAATGCCTCACAGATACCACTAAGCAAATAAATGAGTTTTCATCTTCACTCCTACCCTAGCCTTTCTAGATATGGCATACTTTTTGATTGCATTGTGTTGTTTTGCAACTAGTATGAAATATTTAGGGCTTTAAATTTATATAGTCTTAAGATATGCCACTGTGCAGTACATCTTGCATACTTACACAAAATTTTATTAGTGGGGGGAATGTAATTTTATTCCAACACATCACCAGAAATTATTTCTAAAATGTAAAGAATTTCTTTAAGTACAGCTTTAAATGAATGAACTGTCTCACCCCTGTTTACACTACATGCACTGAGATTGCAACCTTATTCTTTTTATTTAGCTAGCTTAGATTGGCCATTTGCCTTCCTGGGCTCTCAGCACGTGCTTATACAGTACAGCAAAACAGGCATAAAATGGAAAATACCAATTCTATTTCTCATTAATCTGCCCATCCATACCTCTAGGATTATTAATACCCACTTGCTTCAGCCCTTTATTAACAACCTAAAGGAATTGCCTGCTGACTATCAAGATACAACAGTACGTAATCCTCACGGGATTTCTTCACCCGCTAGGGGACTGTTAATTGTCATTAATTCAAGGGAGCAGTGTTGAAATACAGGTAAGCACTTAAAAGGCACAGACTTTCTCTGGTAAATAGGATGTTTACCAAAACATCTGTTTTTTTTCCTGTTATTAGTTATTAATCCTTTGACTGTTAAGCGTAAGCTTTCTCTGTGACAGGCAGGTCTACACCAGCAAGTGGGTCCGCTGCCATCAGCTAATTGGGACCTTTGGAAGGGAGGAAAGGCAAAAGTTCCTTCTCTTCTTCTACTCCAAAATGTCCTCCCTTCTCCCTCTTTGCTTATTTTCTCCAAAGTAGCCAACATTCATACATGTGTAAAGGTAAACCTCTACAAACAAGTTATATGTCCTGAGGTACAATTTGAAGAAATGGTGCTCTCACCATTAATCATTTTGCAGTATTTTGTGCAAGGAATTCAGGATGTGGCTTGTAGCATGCAGCTCAACGAGGTAACCATTTGGTAGCCTTCTGACTCAAGCAACACACACATCACTTTGAAAAATGAGGGGGAAGGAAATGAACCAAGATGCTGGTGCTGGGGAGAAGTCTTTGCAAATAGAAATGGAAATGGGTTCCTATCCATGCTACAAAGACTCTTTCATTTTTTTTTCTTTCTTTCTTTTTCCTCTCTAATAATAATTTATATTCAAACACTGACGCAGAGAAGGACGGGAGGGCTTCTCTGTCCTCCATGAGTGCCCAGTCTCTACACTGCTACTAGACTTAGGTTTTCTCTCTTTGACACTTTCAGTCTTGCAGTATTTCCTGCGCAGTGACCCACTACCAAGGAGAGAAGAGAGTGTCCCTGACTCTGTTCTAGCTGATATCCAGGTGAGCCCTATCTTGTGAGGTGGAATATGGGAGTTTGGCCTCTCTGCTGCTGCAGCGACCCACTGAAGCTAGCTGTTTCCTTTGCCAAGGAAGTTTTGCGTCTGCTGGACACCAGAATGACTGCCTCTTCCTTCAACCACGCTTTATAATGAAAGCAATGGTCCTGCTGGGGGCTGTGAGATAACAGTAATGGTGTTGCCTATCTGCAGAAGATTCTGGCCAGGGTTACCAAACTCCAAAGGGAATTTGTTTTGGTTATTTATGGACCAGCTCAAGGCAACTGGGTGCTTGATGCACATTTTCGGTGCTGTCCTCGTGAAGTAACTAACGCTTCCCAGCTCTCTACAGGAATCCTAGTGCCTGATGCCGGTCATGAAGGATGTTTTGGGGATCAGCACCCAAGAGAAAAGTTAGTACCTACCCTGTAGGTGGCTACTTCTTTTACTGGACATTAGAGCACCTTCATCACACGGGAAAGGGATGCTGGCCAAGGAGAATGGGCAGTGCTTGACCAATATCAAGCTAAATGTGGAGAAGACCACAGAGGAAAGACGCTTATGCTTAAGTCCGGTCAATCAGATAGTCTTCCCATGACCGAAGTGAGATGAAAGTAGAAAGAATATTTTTAAAAGAGAAGGAGAGAGATAGAAAGGGGGGAGGGGGGGTGGGGGAGGAGAGGGAGATCCTACTGCACGCTTAGCTGGAGGCAGTACATATTCTTACCATTTCAACATATCCATGTTTTCCCCTGGCCACGGTTACCTTTTCTTGCTAACCAGCAGCACTGACATCCGGTGAATTTCCTTCTCCCATGGGAAATGAATGTGTCACATTCCTCTTAGCTGGCAATCAAAGGAGTCTTTAAAAACCCAGGTGTCTCAGCTCCTCAGACAGCACCCTATGCCTGCACCTTTCCTATGGGCTAGTTTACTTTTCTAAACCTTGCACTGGACACCTTCTGTGTTGACACAATGAATTCCTGAGGAGAATGACTTTTCAGAATGACATTTTTTAAAATCCGCAGTTGCCAATCATTTAAAAATACACATGAGATCAAAGTTCTGTTTACCCCAGGATTAATAATTATCTTATTGATGCAAAGCCAAGCCCACTGACACAAAAGAACTTTCTTGTCCAGTTTGACATATTGTATGTTTAGGTGATATTGACTCATGACTTCAGTCACTGCTTTCAAATATCGTCTGGGAGGTCATTACAGATCAAAATAAATGGTGTTATCAGGAAAGATAAGATAGGGGAATCCTACAAAACTGACACCAACCTACATAATAGAAATGAAAATATCCCCACAATTAAAAAGGTAGTGAAACTAAGCATCTCTTTCAGCCTTTTCCTTCTTTGTGACCTATAGAAGGAAGGAATTACATTTGTCTGAGCCTAAGGATTCATTACTATATAAATATATTTTAAATGCAACCTACAAAGTACTAACAAGGGGTGAAACCAGGGTCACTGTTTAACTTACGGATCAATAAATCTTTTCCATCCTTGAACTATAATGTCAAACGTGATTGCCTAAAAATTCCTCCTGCAATAATCCAGTGTGTATCCTCTATAGTTATATTCTTCTCTCAGGGTGCAAATAGCATGCACATAACCTCAATTAGGCTTAACAACTGTATATGCAAATTCTTTTCTTAAAGTTAAAAATATACTCTAATTTCCATACACATAAATAAATATGCTCTAAATCATTTAAAAAATCCATAGGTTTCCCATTGTTGATGAAATAATTATTCTCCCACTCTTTCATTTCTTAATCAAAATAAAATCTTTGCCTAAAGTCCTCTTATTCACAGTGACTAGACAACGTTAACGTCTTTGTAATTCAAATAACTGAGATCTTCCCTAAGAAATTCAGGGGAAAAATATGCAACCTGACAGAATAGCGTGAAGCTGCCATATGAAAATCCTAGGAGGAAGTGTATACATATTTCAGAGTAAAATCAAAGAGAGCCATTAAAAAGGGGCACATTGTCTAAAATGTGTTGAAATGAGACATGTATTTATTCTTTCCCTGAGGTAAAAACCTGTACAACTTTGGGTTTACAACCCATAAATTATCGAGTCATTTCTCACTTGTGGCATAAAAAGCATCCTAGAGTGTCTGCATCCACACATCAGCTGAAGCTGGAGAGAGCTAAATTTACAAAACAGCGGATCAGGAGGTACGTGAGACTTAGTAAACAGCATGAAATCCAGTAACTCCAACAAGGAATAATAGAGCTAATCAGCTGTTTTTCAACTTTTCAAGAAGTTTCCATCAGAGTTCGTGGAGTGTCAGGGGACCCTGCGCAAGCTTCACAAGCTCGGTCGGAGACAGGGGAAATGCACCCTAACGAGGGAAACGGGTGTATGAGCAGGCTGTGGACACCCAGCCTGGGTGGCAAGCAGGACGCCCCGGGTCAGCCAAACCGTGCGGGGGGCAGCGCGAGCTATTTCGGGTGCCTCCAAGCAAAGATGTGAGGGTCAAGGGTGGTCAGTGTGACCTTCATTCTCAGCCTTGCTCCCCTCCTAAAAGCAGTCCGTGCTGGCGGCTACCTTTTGAGTGGATTTAGATCAATATTCGGAAAAGATCAGCAAAGCGAGAGTTCTCCTTTCTGGCTTCAGGTTTCAGCAGCGAGGTCGGTGCCCAGCTCCTGTGGAGTCCGAGGCTCAGCTTCTCCTGAAAACCTTGATCTGAAGAGCACAGACGTACGTGTTACAACATAGGATGCCCAGGAGCCTCAGGCCTTGTTACTTGCAGTTATAATCCCCGTAATAAGAGCTTTCAGATACGTTGTCTTTCAAGTAAAGATTTCGAGTTGCTTTCGAAAGGCTGAGAAGTACCCTATCACCCAGCCTGCAGATGAAGAGAGAGGACTTGGGACTTGCCAAGATGAGGGCATCTATATTTAAATTGCAGGTCAGGTACAACAGCTACACTCAGCGTGAGCAAGCCACAGGTGCCTTCTAGCTCCCATGGACACATGGGCCCAGCGTGGTGTGGTCCACATTGGTGTTTCATCCCAGTGCAGAACCAGGACATGGCCAGGATCCACCCCTAGATCTGGGAGCTGGGGCACTCTGTCTGACCCGTAGGCTAGACATGGCTGTAACATCAGGTGTCGAATCCCCATCGGTCCTGAACATGCCTTTAGGGCTGGTCAGCAATTACCTGGTGTCTTCTTGACTAAATAAACTAGTGATCTCACTGCATTATTTTTACAGACAGATATTCAGAGTCCATGCCACAAACAGTGGCTTCCCCATGCCCCCAGGGCGCCCTTGCTGGCGGGCTCGGGATGACCTAAGAGTGGTTTTCCCCATTGAGAATGAAGGCAGACCTCACCCGCTGCAGCACTCGTGCAGTCGGTGCTGAGCCTCCAAAGAGATACAAAATAAGCCGAGAGCTTCAGCCATAGAGGTTAACATGTGCAGGGACAAACAAATTGCAGAAGGGAAAAAAAGAAACCGACAAAGATAAATGTGGCAGATGAAATGTAACCAAGTGTGTTAATGCAGGGTCAGACAAAGATTTAAAAAATCCTGTAGCCAGGATATTAAAATTGTACTCCCTGGTGTGTACCTACCTGCCCCTCTTTTCTAAACATTATTTCTGCTACATTTGCCTTGAATTAGGAAAGAGGCTTTTCATCTTCGAAGCAGTCAGACCTGCAATTACACAAACCCAAGTTTTGCATGAAGGAATATTTTTTCCTGCCTTAAACACATTTTGTGCTCAGAATGAACTTGTTAAATAGTCTGTCATCTACCGTTTCCTTCTCTTAAGATACAGACAACACTTGAATTGTTAATGAGCTGCAATGCAGTTTAATCAGAGTGGGAAAAACAGGATTTCAAACAAAGAACAAAGTAGGCGTCTCCAGTTTGTCCCACAGCCTCCAGTCCTCCGGGGAAGATCACCAGAGCCCAGCACGTGGTGTCCTTTGAGTCTGCCTGAGCCCCAAACACTGTGTATGCATTTACTGCTCGTGCTTTCCATTGCCTTTCTTCGTATGCAGAGATTTAGGCCACCACAAAGTGGAAATGAAAGGCCACGGTGCTGGCCTCACGTGCCCATTCCTGTTCCTTGGGTCCTTGGTGTGTAATCCCAGCTTTTCAGCCCACGCAGGGGCCTAAAAGGCCTTGATGCCTTCCCAACACAGCAAATAATTTCACTGGCAGATAATCATACCAAGCGACAAGTGCATTGATGTGAGTGTCTCTAGTCATAGTCCCGAGCCCAGAAATTTTGCTTACAGCCATCTCCACCTCGGTGCTGTCCCTGCCCGTGCCAGAAAACAGCTCTGGAACAACACATCTGAGTGCAGGATGTAGAGCGCTGCCAAACGTAATATTGTTAAAATAGCTTTTGTGCCAATACAGTGAGCATGTAGAAGGAAAAATATGATCTGCTGGCTAGATTCTAAGCTCTCCTTTATATAAAATATGAATAATGTTACCTGCAGTTGCAGAGAGCTTTGTCCCTGGGTACAGAAGCTACCCACAGCCACAGCATTGCCATTGTTTATTACCTTCCTTCAGCTCTTGGAGTTGTGAAAATATACTTTTATTTTGATCCTTCAGACACCTAATAGCCTGCAGGAAGAATACAATTTATCAATGGTTTCTTTATGTGTGTTACTATAACGCAGGGCAGAAATGAAATACAGCATTCTTCTGCCACCCGGGAGCTGGCATATTCTGCTGCACGCTGGGTAGGTAACACCCTCTCAGCAGGCAAAGTGCATGGGAACGTGAAGAAGTAAAGCACTGACTCTGGCTGGGAAGTAGCCGTTTAGAAAATTTAACTTAGCTGACTGCAGTGAGTAAAGATACCATCCCATATTTCACATTATTGACCAGTGAGTTATTGCACATGTGATTTCCAAAATACAGTTTCCTTAGCACATTACTGTACTAAATTTGTTACCTTCTTTGTTTTATCCCCAAAGCATGTGAGAAGGAGCACTGCTAAATGTCCAGAGCTTGCTGTGGCTGCAGGAGGGACTCCAGCTCCTCAGGGCTTAGGCTCGTGGGCAGTGAAGCAAACAGCGACAGCAGTTCGAGATGTAGCTGCCTCCCACCCATCTGCCAGAGGTTGCTGCTGCTATCACAGTGGCAGAAAAAGGAAATATTTGCCCCATTTGAACTGATGTGCCAGGGTGGAGCAGCAAAGATGCAGGGGCTGAATTGCTTCTGCTTCAGAGCTTGAACATACGTTAGCAGCAGAGAGTGGAGGAGTTTGGACAGCAGCCGCTTATGCTGCTACAGCGAGATTTGTTCATGCTTAATGTTTAATGCCCAGAGGCATTTTTTACACTTCTTGCCCCAAGATTATGTTTTGTTAGCCAATAATCTTCAAAAGAAAGAGACACTGAATATTCTGCCATTGCTATTATCTGAGTAAAAGGTCAAATCTGTCTTAGTGCTATGTTAATTTCATTAGTGATGGGACTTGACTTCAGTAAATGCAAACCAGTACTGAATCAGAGGCATTTTGCTTAAAAGCGTCTATTACGCTCAGAAGAATTAAAACAGTAAAAACTGGCTTAGTGCAAATAGCATGAGGAGCGCAATGATCAAATCACAGGCCTTGTAGTTCTGCCCTTGTTGCATGAGTTGAATGTCAGAAATTGTATACTTGAAAATCTACATTTTTTGTGTGGGGGAAGAAAATATAATAGACAATAGGGTACCATGGGACATAATAACACAGACAGGCAGGGTCCTTATGACTCACGTCCAGAGGATCTTTCCTCAGATGTGGGAGTAATAATAATCTGCAACAAACTGTTGTAACCCAGTGAATGTCACAAGTGTCTGAATCTGCATTAACTTCCTGCAGCAATGATTTTTCTAAATACATGATATCACGTGTTATTTTGCT